TGACTGATTTGCATAGCAATTATCCAATATTCCGAAGCATGAAGAAGCATTTTTCAATATTGTGCTCTAAATGCAGCCATTTTTGATAATGATGCAATTGAGTCTAGTGAATCGTCTTGAATTAATAATTGACTCGATCGAGGCAAACTGTTCATCTCAGTATTCGGAAGTGAAACTCCAAGTTTAGCAATAGTTTTTTAACGATTTGCATGTCTTGTGATGCACCGAAGTTAGCTCATTGTAAGGAGTAATTCTCATGAAACTTAACAATAATCTATTCTGTGTAGAGAAGAATCAACGTGCTTTTTATTCTTAGTTGAACAGCAGGTTGATTTATCATTTAGTAAGAAGATGATTGGTAAACCTTCTGGTGCATAACACTTACAGTTCTGCTATACTCTAGAGAAGAATAGATTTCATCACTTTCTGGTATTTTCGAATGTTTGTCAGAAATTCAGCAACGAAATTTCTACTCACTGGTATTCAGATAATTTTGTAGTAGGTAGTAGTTAATATTGTCCACTTATTTTGTAGACAGCGCTCCAGGAACTAAGGTGTTTTCGAACATGCAGATTTGATTAATTCAGATGAATTATAATATGCTCATTCTACGTCTCACATCTAAGTGGTTAGACAATATAGCGGTGTATATCACCATTGTCATTGCTTCGCCCAGTTATGACTGATGGTGGACGACACTTTAGTTGTGTCTTCGCTGCACATGATCTTTCACATGTTGTGCTTCGTCACATTCGCTCAAACTTTGTTATTGTATCCATGTAACTTTGTTTATGAGCATCGAATTTAACTCATCTGAATGTTTGAATCACTATCAATTTATCAGTAAATGTGGTATGAAGAAACGAATTCATCGGATGGTGGAGTCTGTTTCAGACTGAAGAATATTGCTTACAAATGATACACTAATTACTGGTTTTATGGCGGATCATGCTGCATAACCGTGATGGAAATAATCCAGTGTATATAAATGTGTTGTTCGGAACAAAGCTGTTTCATCGGTAATACTTTACATAAAATACAGCTAGCAAACTATCAAGCAATTCGCCTATTGTTGCTTCCTGTAAAAGAGAAGTTGAAGCAATAAATACAAATGGATTAAACATAATCAAGTAATGCCATTTTGTCTCACAGAATGTGTTGATTGGCTGACAGAATATCAACACTTACTAGCCATACTAATATCTCTTTTCAAGCCGTTGTTGCAGACAACGTGGCTGTGGTTCGTGTTAAGTTCATACCTTATTCTGAAAGTGTCCAAGGTATCCATTTCTACTGATTAGAAAACGAGTATTTCTCATAATCCCAGTTGGAAGACAGTCGAGTTGACAGTATGTATTTCAGCTGGTCAGAACCTTCGCTACCTCTGAGTATGTCAAAATCAGTTGTTACTCTGAAGACGTAAGACAATCCACCTGTTCGACGTTCATCTATCAGCTGTTTATTTACACAACCTAGCTGCTGTGATGAATGAAAGTGGCTCATGAAGAGATATTGTGAACTAGTCGTTTACTCTGCACTTTACAAGTTTCCTGCATGGCGGCTGTGAGGTTGTACTGGCTGTCTAGCAGTTGTGTATTATAAGTGGGTATTTATGGCACCAATGTGACAATAACAACATTTAAGATATAAAGATGACATTTGGAGATCCGTTGTATATATCTGAGTTTGTTGACATACAATCCTGTGATAAGAAGCCATTCCGCTTCTGCGGATTGACTGTGGAAGACCAGAAACGCGAAGACAGGATTCACCACCACTTTTGATTCATTTATATTTTATAGATGGTGAAGTGAGGCACAGAGCTTTTGTGAGGTATTATTTTCTCCCTTCATCAACATATAATTCGGCGGTGTCAATCTGACTGAGTACCAGACACACATGGTATCATTCGACTCGACCGTACCTTAGGAAAAAAACGGAACGAGTTCAGCTGCAAGTGGATGAATTGGTTCATTTCCATGGATTCAAAAGCATTTTGACTGTTCCTTACAAGTGCAAATGTCTGTATGTGAAGCTGCACACAGAGACTGTCATGGATTACTGAGCATAAAGGTGTAGAGACTGAATTAGACCGAGACCATTTTTCTAAATTCCACTGGTAGTCATATTCAAGTAGGCTATTTATATATTTGTATGTATATATATACATATAAATCTGTGATCAACCTGTTGTCTTATGCTTGTCTTCAGATGTAAAGAGAATTTGTAATAGGTTGCGTATATGTTGTTCACCTCTACACCTTGACGTTACGAAGATTTCAGTATTGTGTTTTATGTATTTGGTTCACTCAGTTTTGAATTTCTAATCTATACAATATATGTATGTCAGAATTTTGATTTCTGAAGCCAGTGTCATACCATTTCACAGCACTTACTCTGAAGGCGGAATGGTTAACCACCTGTTTCGGTTATATGGATTCGTTCAGTATAACGGTAGTTGCTGATCAGATGATTCCTATTCAGGTTTTCAGGTAAAATGTCCACTTCATTCAAACATAAACTAAATAGTGAATGGAGACTGAAATTCAGTCAAAGTGACTGACATTCGACTGAGCAATGCCTGTTAGATTTGAAATTCTCGTATTTGCAGTAAAAATGAATGCGCTGAAGATGTTGCCTGGTGAGGCAATGAAAGCTTCGAAAATGAACCATGAATCTCAGGGAACTCAGATACATCAAAACCAGCACAGAGTATTTATTTTGTAAATTAGGTATTACCATAATATATTCAGAATAAAATGGTTGGAGAGAAAAATTATTTTCAATAAATTCTTCTTCAGGCTCTACAATTGTAAATCCATTAATTTAAGCATACAATACCCAGCCAGTAAAGGCAAATTAGAATCATATCAGTAAGTGTATTGTGGAACAATTATTTGATGGGATTGAACAATAGTCAGTTAGTTTTCTTGATATGCATGATCAATGAGAACATGAGATAAAATGGGATGAAATCATTTAATCTGATGAATGTTTTTAGTAGTGTTCTCCCAGCTATTCAGTTTACACATGAGGAAGAAAACAATAACAGTTTACCTGTCCTAGACGTCCTCGTTACCATGAAGACAGACGGATATCTACAAAGGAGATTATTTAGAAAGAAAACCTGGACGGGTCAGTACACCAATTTTCATAGCTTCCCACCAATTCAATACAAAGTAAACTTAGCTAAGTGTCCTAGCTATAGAATAAAACGCAAATCCTGAGAGGAATACATTAAGGAAAAAATGAATAAACTGAAACTTAAACCGTTAGAAATGTGATATCCAGGCAACTTCCTAAAACAGTGTATGTTAATACCTGTAGTCAGAGTAAAGGTGGATACCGTAGACAAGAAACCTTTGTATCTTAAGTTAAGTTACAAAGGGGAAATTGCAGCTGACATTCTAAAATGTCGACTTAACAGAGCAGTAGGGAGGACATTTTCTGCAGCTAAACTGGTACTCAACTTCTCAGGTGAACAAGTACTCACACAACCAGTCAAGGATAAATTACCAAAGATGGCCTAATCAATGTGCATCTATGAATTCAACTGCTCATGTGGAGCTAGTTACATTAGCCGTACTCAGAGGGCTTTATCCATGCGCGCGCGTGGACATGTACCAAATGCGTAAACAGTGCAGTCTTAGGTCACTTGGAAGATACTGCTTTCCTAGTGTTCTACCTAGAGGAGCTCGACTACGTTTTCTTTCAATAGCTGAAGCGGCTGCAATTAATACCAGAAGATCGATTCTTTGTATACAGAAGAAGTATGTTCAACTTCTATGTTTACCTTGGCCTACAATGAAGCAAACAAATCCTCCATAAACATTAGCACTTGAAATCCCTATCACACTTGTTTTTTCTTCCCATATTCCTTTTTTCAGTGACAAACGTTCATTTTCGACTTTTATGATTTCATGACCTTTCTTATGATTTTATTACTTTAGATTTAAGTAGTCCTGTTCATTCCACCTCATTATATTCATTATTATTATTATTATTTGACAATCATTCAGCAATGGTAATTGTAATTTTACACCTTATCATAGTTATTATTTTACAATCATTCTTATTGTTGTTATTTTCAACCTTGAACTTATGTCTAGTCCGCCCCATTCGTTGGTTTATTTTCATATTGTCTCACACACCCTGATTACACTCACTCTGGAAACATGTATATTTCTGTTGACAGCATTACTATATACATATATGTATACATCATCAAATTAAAATATTTCATCTCATGTTCTCATTGACCATGCATATCAAGAAAACTAACTGACTATTGTTCAATCCCATCAAATACTTGTTCCACAATACACTTACTGATATGATTCTAATTTGCCTTTACTGGCTGGTTATTGTATGCTTAAATTAATGGATTTACAATTGTAGAGCCTGAAGGAGAATTTATCGAAACTATAATTGTTCGCTCTGACTATTTATTCACTGCTGATTCTGAATTATATCCAGCTTCTCCCTAGGTATTATTGAGTGCTTAGCTTTGATACCTAGAATCGTACATTTCGCATAACTGAAGACGTAACTACAGGCATATTTTTGATGGAAACGCTCATCTCTCTCTTTGTGGAATGCCTTGACACTGACTAGTAATCAACTGGGAAATGTCCGAAGTGTATTATGGTGCCTCCAGTTTTCCTATTTCTCTAGCTGCACAAAATTTCATGCTAACGATTTACTGATTTTGAAAAGAGTTGTAAACAGTTAGAGCGAAAACACACAGACAGTAAATATTTCAACCAACAGAAATGAAGATTTCGCTGCAGTTTGTGTGTGCCTGTCTCGTACTGCTGATCCACATTTCAGCGAATACAAATTCTCTATAATTGAAATATCAAGTTTTCTGTGAGTTTCACATGATGCAACCTGGTTCAGTGTTTGTTTGTATGTGTGTCAAAATGCAGTTGGATTGACGACAATATAAAACGGTTATCTGCTAACATTGTGTCAAAGCGATAAACTGCTTGGACGCAAACATGTTGAGAAACATATGGTGGACTTTATCAGCATCGATTTTCTTGTGTAAGTGGTTCTTGATTTTTGCGCACAGAATGAGTTAGTCTTCCGTCTTGTGAGTCAGACTGCCATAATTTTAAGGTGTATTCTAGTCACATTTCATGCATATTTATTGTATGAAAGCATGTTCCTTTGTATGAAAAATGAGGCGTTTAACTTTCATTGAATATTTCAGATATACTGTGTCTTCCATCATCGGAGGCAGGAATCTTGTGGTGGATTTTTTGTAAGACACATTGATGTATTTTATTATTTGTGAAACAGTTTCATTTTCGTTAATTGGAAGGGAAAAATTTTCTTGCGAGTGGTTGTCTAAAGGAACTGTCATGTTGTGTAAATATTGGTGTTTATTTTGATGGAAAATGTTTCCGTAAAGATAAAGAAATGTTGTTTATGCGGTGATTTTCCACTCATCATTTTATGCCACAAACTGCCATCACTAAATAGCATACACATCGAGACTACTAACATTCTGTTGCAATCAGATAACTTATCAAGAACATTATGCCATACTGACATCTGAATGCATTATCGCTCATATGTTTGGCTTTGAGGATCACTGCACTGCTTATAATTGTGCTGAAGTTTTGTGTGAACATGAATGTGTTTCTCTAAGCTATTGCCTTTTGTCTGATAAGACAGGTTGATGAGCTGACCAGTGCGTCATCTTCTTCCTGGTGTAATATAAATTACTGGAATTCATTTTGATGTTGATCATCGTCAACTGAAACATATTTTACGACTTGTGTGATGCTTGTAATTCTGTGTGGGATTGTTTGATGGAGGACAGTTGGACTGGCGAGATTGTGGTATTGACCTGCAGTGTCAGCTTTAATCATGTCAGTAAGGACTGAGTTTTGTTCTGTATTCTGAATCATGATTACTATTTGCCATGGAGATTCTTAGACACACATGAGACAGCATGATCATCATCATCCGAATAGTATTATATTCTTCTTGTTTTATTGATTTATTTATTTGAAAGGTTTCCTTTTTGGAGGCGAGGAAGCTTGCGGATGTAAGTGTCTATATGTTTTGATCTGAATATTTGCTTTTTAAGGCGTTGACGTTCTGAGGAATTTCCGCTGGCGAGCATGGAAGCTGTCTTTGTTCTTGTAGATGACATTTAACCGATATATCTGACTATTGTTTGAAATAATAAGGACATCTCTTTCGCCAAGAAATGAATATGTGTGCAGCAATTTGAACTATCTCTCATTAGTTTCATCTCTAGGCTAATTAGTGAATGTCAATTTGTTCAAATCTCATTGTAACGGAGGAGTTGATTGTACATGCATTCATTTTATCGACTGATGATAAGTGATTTTTCTGATGTTCATCCATTTTGTACCAGACATAGAGATTTTGACAAAGGTTTACACGCGTAGTTTCAGTCGAATGATAATCTTAGTTACACGTAGTAAACAGACAGCGTGACTAAATATATGTGTGGTTGCATAATTTCACATAGTTGACCTCAGAGCTTTCTTGAAAGAAATGTCTAATCTCTGCAAGGGAATTCATTTCTGGGATATATCAAGGTGCTAGTGCTTTTTGTGACGTGATGTTTTGTATATTAAGATGTGAAATGCTGCAATGCGAATGGCTGGTGTCTGCATATCATTATTCCTAATGCAATGTAATACTATGACGACGAGCAAGTAATAATATACGTATGACCTTATTCATTATTTTGGTTCTAGCTGACGGATCGGGATTTATTGTTCCTGTAAGTGTTCAGGTGTTTTTATAAAAGAATTTGCGTATTTTTCGCTTATACCTTGAAATCTATGCAAATCATTACGAAGTCTACGTACATGATGTGGTGATAATAATAATAGTTATTCGCTGAATGCATTTAGAAGAGGTAACTGACACACTCGAATAAGACTCTGCAACCTTTAACATGGGTGATATGTTCGGTGCTCAGTCGCGTCCAACTCGGGTGGAAATGACGCATTATTTATTCGAAAGTTTGTGGGTGATATCTCAACATCTTTGTGCGCTACAAATTTTGTTGTAACCAAATTTTCTTGAGCGATGCAAAACAGCAGAAAATGTTTGTAATTTGATTTCAGAATGACAACATTCTAACAACACCTGTGCTACGTTTATTCAGTGTTACTACATGTTCTTATTCCAGAATAGCACTATGGATTTGTCAGTGAGTTATGATGGTTACTTATTAGTATACATTGTTAACTAATTCTATGTTAAACTGAGAACGTTTACGTGTTTGTAGAATTATTTGCGTCAGTATTCTGTTTAAATTTAATACCCTTCAAAGCTATTCAGGTGAAGATATCATAATCAGAGATATGTTCATATTTGAGATCAAAGTAAGGATATTGACTAGTCATTTTATCGTGTAGTTTGAGGCCCAACGTTTTACTCAGCTAACAGTCTTAGAGCAGTTTATTCGCAGTTTATTTATTTTCCTAGAATGTATATGGAGGAAGTATTTTGTTAGCAGTTTGAGTGGAGAAAGAATATCCCTCGATTTTCCTTGCAAATAAAGCTGACTAACTAATTCTCTTTTAGGTGTTGTAAAATGATCACTGACTACTTGATGCTATCGGATGCTACATTCTACAGTCGTTGATTGGTCTCTTTCTTCAGTAATCATAAAGCTGTTATCATGACAGGTGAATTATAAATAAATTGATATTTTATAACTATAAAGTTAGAGGGAAATATGAAAGATTTTTCAACTCTTTGATGCCGATGCTGAGCGACAATGATGACCGTTTGTTTCATGAGATTCATTATCAGAGACTTCTCTTTCACTGATTTAATATTTGATAACAGAAATTTTTGATAGCGTTGGTGGCAAAGAGGTTAGGACGCTCGCTAACCATGCTTATGGTCCGGGGTTCGGCCACTAGCTTGAAGCCATATGTTCCACTGGGGAACGCGAAAGAAAATAAACTTTTAACTGTCATTATTTATAATGATCTTTTTCGAAAATATGCGTACACATAAATGTTTGTCACTTTCCAGGCAAATGCGTGGTGATATTGTCGTTCTTACTGTTTCTGCACTCATTAGATGTTCTTTTACTTCTGCATCACATTTTCTTTATTTTAATGAGTGATTTAAAAGAGATTTTCCCTAATCTGTGTCAGATAACAGTGTCTCGACAAAGAAAGCACTAATCGAGCAGAAACTGAAACAAAACAAAATTAGTAAATTGAATGATGTAATACGACTGACAGCACTGAGTAGGGCTCAAATGTGATTGACTGGTGGTCATCTCTTAGAGTGGTGAAATGCCATGATTGATTGATTAATTATGTCGATGTTTTATTCGAATATCCCTTGGTTTCCTACAGTTTGAACTTTATAAACTCAAAACCACTAACTTATGTCACTCCACATTTCCATCTTTAGGGGCAAGGTGGTTCACATTCATCCGTAAGTCATTATGATTACCTGTCTAAATGTGTATGTTTTACTGTTACTAAACAAATATGTTCCTGTGCTCTGACTTTAGAAAACGACGTAGCTTGATTATCTGTTCTTTATTGGATGTGAAGTGAAATCAAATAGTCAGTATGTGCTTGATATTTATTTGGTGTTGTTGAATTCGTTTTCCTGCAGTCAACAACTATTCTCATCCGCCAATGATCACATTTTTGTAATTATAATTGGTGAATGAAAAATGAAATGACAAATTATGACAGTATAATTAAAGGAAATGTCTTCGTTAATTTAGATTCAAGTTCGTATTCATCTACCAAGTCTTGTTGCAGTATTTTCGAATGTCCATAAGAAATTTAGTTAGACGTAATCGCTACTCACGTTCACCTTGATAATATTTCAGTTAAACCGCCATATGCAAAATCTAAAAATAAGATGACATCTTGATTTTTTGTGTTCAGGTATCATCTAGAACTCTTCAAGTTTAATATATAAATTTCTTAGAGTTTATCGAGAGTAAATTGTGATAGGGTAATTTTTGATTTGATAGCAGGGAGGTGGATCGTCACATGTAAGTTATTAGAGTTGCGTGATTGACTTTTGTTCATACCACGATTGCGTTTAGTTTTGTTTCGAGTTATTTTGTCTCTTTTCAAACTGCGTCTCATTGAAAACTATTCACATAATTAATTATATGGATAACAGGAGGTGACACTTGGTGATATCTTGACGAAAGAATAAATGAAATGACAGAGATAATGTCACCTACTTCCGTTTGAAGGTGGAATTATCCCTACATTAACAGCTAGGTACGTCTTAGATTACTGAGCACACAGACAGCTGTGTGTATCTGCGATTTTATAAATGCATTTTGAAAACTTCAGAAATACTTTTTAATATGTGAAAGTGGTCAGCGACACCCTTCGTATTCATCTAGTTGTATTGGAATCCTACTTCTGTAATCTTTAAATGTTCTGACCCTCCTACAGTGTAGTTCTTTTAGAAAACAAGGTGAATGGGTCGGGTAATGGTAGCCATAAACTATATATATATATATATAATGTCCTTGAAGTGTAAACTATACGATGTCGATTCTAGAAGACAAGTGAGATTATTCTTGCTACTCATTCCAAATGTTCACTGCTGCTTTCCAAAATGTCGACATTCATTCCTCACAACCATGTGTTGAATCCTAATAAAAGTAGCATTTCAATGGTTGCTTCACTGCCCATGATCAAGGGATATGTCTAATATCCTTGCTTATGAAATGCTTAACAAATGGCATATAATTGACGAGCATGTCCGACTTTCATATTCACCGAGTGGTTGTTTCTTCTCGATAGGACAGCTCTACAAAGAATATTCGTTGTGGAATCAGATTTCAATTGTGAATACGATCAATTCATGTAAACCAGCCATTGATAGAAATGTCATCTTTTTCCACTGTGGCACACTGAAAACTGATGAAGTAAAAAATTTAGAAATTGAAGCACGACTAGCGGTAAAAAGCCATGAAGTCAGGAAACATTGACTCAAACACATCTGAGTGATAGGAATAATTTCTTGATCTTGACAGAGAAGTAATTTGGGCTTACAGCTTGTGCACCACAGTGTTAGTAAGCACAACACGTCAGAAATTCGTCTTGCATATAATTGGAGAATGGAGACAGGCAGTTAACATACAAATATGTGGCACTGCCTATCATTGAGGTGGGCATTGTTTTTGTGTTGTTGTGTACTCTGATATTGACATTTTTTTACTAATCCTTTATTCTCATTTTCAACAAGTTCGCATTGACAGCTGAAAAACTAATCAGCTTTTGGAGTATGTATTTTCAATATCATCGGCCTACTAAACATTCGATGCAGGATGCCACTGATTATTTTGTGTTTAAGTGATAATATTAGATTATTGCTTCTACACCTCTTAAACGTTACTTCACCTTTGAATCCCGATTTTGAGTAGCTTAATGATAGGCAATTCATTATAGATTATAACATTGAACACAAGATACAGTCTTTCAGTGTCGACTTTTCAGAAGAATGAATGAATTATTGATGATCACCATTTTATCATTTTGCATACAGACAGTGGAGTAAGCGTGACATTCAATTTGTTCCTTCTTGATTGTTATTCGACGAAGATTACATGTTCCCTAGTAGATTGAAAGTAAATTATATCACTAGAAAACTGCTTCAGCGAATGCTGTTGATAACTTTTCATTCCATATTTTGTACCTTATAAATAAATAGACAATAATGAGACATTTCTCTTGAAATGTGTGACTATGATCACAAAACAATCAATACGAATATGGTGTAGTTAGCAAACAGCAAGGGGTGCAGTTTCATGAAAACGTAATCGGAAGAAGTTATAAGTGGTCATTATTTAGTTACAGTAGTGTCGATTATCTGTAGGAACAAGTGCTCAAAAGAGAACAGTGATAACAATCTTATAAATGACTAGAGCTATTGAAACGTCAACCTCACAACCTAATTCTTACTTTTTTAAAAACAAAGTAAACTGCCGAAACATTTTGGTTAGTTGGTTGGTTGTTATTTCTTCATTGTTTCATAGGACTGTATATATCTTGCACATTTTTTGCCAATCCGAGTGTTAGTATAAAATGCGAAGCAATCAGTTAAGAAGGTTATTTCACACGAACTCATTAGATTATCTGACTGCAATATCAAGTGATGTAGAGATCTCCGTGTCGTGATATTTTAGACAATAGTGGCCTGACGCAATTGATGTATAAATACATATTCCCTGTTCTGTGTATACCTTCAGGCAGACATCAATTGCGTTTATGAAAACCACAGAACACCTCTTTGTTGCATTGTGTTTGAAACACTGAATATATATCTGTGATTTCAAAAGTCAAATTAATCCAGATTGTATTGCTTATTTCTTGTTTAGCAGTAGGGAGTGAAAGGACGACCGCTGACAACAATTTTTGAAATTATCAATATAAACTTGATTGCCTTAAAATAAATTAAATTTTTAAAACAATTAGTCCTTTTAGAAATTTTGATAGCGTTACTAGAAGACGGAAATTTTCTGAAAAGGTATGTGATGTAATTGTGCTATACATTTTGCACAATCTGATCACACATTTACTTGTCAAGGCGATATAGATGAAAAAGTTAAACAAAGTGATAAAAACAGGTTCTAGAATGATTAACACAACGTTTGGTAATAATCCAATCAAATAAGGATTACCATGGTAGGTTGAGAGTAATAATAAATTGTTTTTGAATACACAGGGAGTTGGAGTGGGGGCTTAAGTTTATGAATGGCTATAGCATCAGCGTATTTCAATAAGCGCCCTTGACCGTTTTTATAGATGACCTTAGAGGCTGAGTTAACATCAGTCTTATGGTTCATTTCGATTAGATGTTTAGCTGTAGACTAAGTTGGTAGTCTGACACCTGCATCTATTGGTTTTTCACAAAACTTTTCACAATTCATTTGTTTTTCTGACCATTTTGGAGAATGCTCTTCCACCCCCATATGCGAAGGGCGATTACTCCTCCTTATGTATGTATGTCCACACACATACACACACACGAAAGTTGGAAAATAGTGTTGGATGTGACATAGACACTTGTGCACTTTTGAGGTTTGCAGTAAAGCATAATTTTAGCTTTTTCGACAATTACAAGCTGGGCTGCATAATGGGTTCTACGGATGATCGAATTCAACCTTTGTCTCAAAATCTCACTCTTTATTTCCACGTTATAGGGTAATTTGATGAAAACATTTTTCCCTAGGGGCGGTATAGATTGTAGGTTTAGAGACTAATCAACTTCTACACCTGTTGAATAATTTTAAAGGATATCGGTTTTTCAACAAGAGTATCTATCAATATTTCGTTTTCTTTGTCTATAAAGTCAGCCGTACAAATACGCTGAACGTTAAAGCACGTGTGATTGATTTATTGATCTCAATCGATTAGATCGAATTTTTTACACTATCAAGATGACAAAAAATGAAACTTCTATATGAATCAAATAAATTCGTGAATTTATTTTACCTGGAAAAATAAGTGAATCTACAATGACTGACATGCAAATGTATATGACACACAAATCAACATTTTGTGTTTTTGCGTCATCTATATTTAACTGCAAATCAGGTAAACTCAAAAGATGTCTGGCACTAAAAATATTAATGTTATCCTGTGTGACTATGAAATATGCAAATATTGACAGAAATATTGAGATATCTCACTGGAATGTTGTACGTAATCATACTGGAAAATACTTAACTTCGTCGGTGCATTTAGTCGCAACTTAAGTCACAAAATAATACGCACAATTTTACGTGTGTTGTCAGATTATTTTGATCTGATTCATTCCAGATGATTTCCGATGTGATCACTTGATATCTGATACCCTGGTTTACTCAATGCTGTGTGAGTAGCAACACGTGGAGTTATGCTTGCGTCTTCACTCATAAACGTATTACAAGTGTTCAGAAACAGCTCTGATGAGGTGTAGTCAACAGTCTTCATAGATTTTTCGATTTAGGATGACATTATATATAAACAAATAGTTCATCACTTGTACAGTAAGGAGACGTAGTCTTAGCAAAATGTCATCCAGCATCTTATGCTGTGCAATGGACGAAGATTTCTGATAGCATGTGGTCACTGATCCACTTTGTGAAATTTTCACTATGATATTTCAAGTAAGAGTGATGGATTAAAATTCTAACATGTGGTATGAAGCTGTTTCATTATCTACAAGCATATGTGTGGGTGTGAATTTCACTGAGGATTTCTTCAAAGGTTTTACAAGAGAGAGTATTTCTAGTCATTTTCACTTTTCAGATTCACTGCGAGAGTCTGTGTTATATGACTTTAGAAGTCTACGCTAGTTTCGTTTATCTGTCATTCGTCGATACACTCATGTTTTCAAATGACTGATTTCATAATGAGAGATACTGATTTAGAGTTTCAGCTGTCTTCTACACAAAGCACCATTATCATTATTGCCTTTGGTTTTCACTTGACACATAGATGTTCTTCAATTAGCGAGTGATATTGTGAGTCACTCAAAAAGATTACAGTCCATTATTTCACGACGAAATGAATTGATGGCAGAAAGTAATGAAGAGAATAATTTTGGGAATATGTAAAACAGTATACTCCATTTTGTTAGTTTATCGAAGTAGGTATGAATTTATAATTCGAAGCCAGATAGATATCATTATTTGAAGAAATGCACTAAGAAGATCTGTCACGACCAGTCCTCTGTAATCACCCTCTCACATTCTGTGTATCACGTGTTGCGACATGTATAGCTCCATCTCCGTCTGAATGCCTAGACTTTCAGCAATGAAAAAGAGGCGAGGGAGTATTGTTTTTGGCAAGTTTATCTTCACTTTGTAGATTACTTTGAACGAGACGTTTTTCGAAATAAAATTAACAGCTTTGACAAGGTGTTCAAATATCACACCCTTTGCAGAACCAGATAGAATCCTCGAGGATTAGCATCAGATCCTTAATGATCAGTGTTGAAATAAACTCATTGTTACATTGAATGTTTGGTCGGCAATTCATTTTATTAAGTTCATTTGGAAGCATTCAACAAAATGCTATCACGATGACACTTTTGGTGAAATAAGCTGATGCAAACAAATCGTAATGTTGCAATGATTGCAAACAGTTTGTGTAAAACTGAAGGAATCAACTTGGTTTATAATTATTCAGTTTTCCAGCAAGTCTTTCAACTTACTCAAGGTATTACTAATTCACACGATCTGCTCTAGATAGGTGATTAAATAGATCAATAATTACTAGACGGAGTAATTCTGCAAGTAGATTGTATAAAAAATGAAGTAGAATGAGGTTTAGGCCTGTCTGACCACACTTTACAGAGCAAGTGAATCGTATTCGTAGACGGTGAAACGCGTATACAGACCAAATGAAAACAATAAATATACCTTCAGTAATGAAACTTATAATCACCTCTAGATGTTTTTAAGTTCCAGTAGGGATAAGACCACAGTTTTTCGACGGATGTAGATGTTTTGTTTGAAATATCGATGGTAGATAAACATAGTGAGATAGATCTAAGTTTGCAGACCCTATTCTGATGAACTCAATAAAAGAGAACCATAAATTTAGCCGTTATATGTCAGAGTAACCAGAAGTCGATGATTAGGTACCTTCCTTATGTATATTTTGTGTTCAGGATTTTTATTCCTAGCTGTTTCCTCACACATTCTAACTGAATAGTGATGTATGTATATATAAATCTGGGAATCTTACGAATAATTTTCCAAAAATTGACCGTTTACTTCTGGAATGGAACACATACTTCTCATCAGAACACGAGATGACTGTAGATGATTTCAGGTAGATGATTCAGAAAACAACACGTGAGTAAATCATGCCACATACAAAGGTGAACCGATGTAGATTTACTCACTGTGCGTCGGTGGCACAGTGGTTGGGACTCTCGCCGATCGAAGTATATATATATATATATATCTACAGATGGAGGAAAGAGCGCTGATGTGGTAAATTCGACTGAAATAGGAGCAATCAAGATAATGGTTAGTGGGATGACGGAAATAAGAGATTCCGTAGGAAGAAAGGAATTTATTTGAAGATACTGTTTCATCGGGAAAACACTGCACCAAAAGATTACCGAGTATTATTACTATAAATATTATTATTACAGTTATTATTATTCGTCATAATTTATGCCCTTTATGCAAACATTCCCTCAATACTATCGAATTTTCATTTGTACGGACTTACTATTAGTGATATTATCTGTTTTCTCAATATATGCCTCCACCTGTTTCATTTAATATATTCGTTATCTCACTATGAACCTCTCATTCCAGTCTTACTATATCCTGCTTAACTCAGACCACTTTGTACTAGCCACTCACCTGACACCTTTTATAACCTTGAACTGATTTGTCAATTTTCCTACCCCACACTCTACAAATCTGTTATGATTAATCACTACTATTGTCTCCCGTTTTACAATATTTCTAATCGACTTCAGCCTAGCACGTTTGTCATACAAATGTGACTATTTATTTTGACACCCCATAACAGCTAATCTGTTATTCTACGTTAAAAACAATAACCGCCGCATACCTGGGTATCTTTATTGTAACGACCACAAATATTATATTTTATAATTGTAACATAACTAATCCTTACAAACCAAAAACTATAGAAAGATAATTGTAAGAACCTGAAGAGAAATTATTGAAAAGAATATTCTTCGTTCAGATAGACTTTTTGATTACCGAGTAGTTTATTAAACATCGAGTGGGGATACATAGAATGGATGAAAGTTCTATTTCAACAATATATCATCAATGATTGTACGAAGGGTATCTGCTTCACTCGTAATATCATATTGAATATCACAACTGCAATACAAGAACACTACTCAATGTTTTTGAAATATGACCAATTTATTAAGGGATAATTTATGTTTTGAGAAATAATCAAACGATTTACAAGCTAGTTGTGTCATTTGTATACATTGATAATGACAACACTAACGAATTTCGAATTTCCTATCGGGCTAACGACAAGATATAGTATATTAGAGTCACATTTGTTTCTTCGCCCCTCTACAACCAATGTCTTCATATTCCTAGTTCATCTCTGGTTATCTAACTGTCAGCTGACATGCACAACGACTGGCACACAGATGGATCGTCTATTTTTCATGTCATTATTCATTCATTATTATCCAATTCTTGCGTTCAAAGTGGAGTACAGAGGCTTCAAAAAAACAGCACCATTTAAATCTCTTCTACATTTTTTTTCATTGATTCATACAAAGTCCATAATGAAAGGGAAAGAAATCCAAGTTAAATGTTATTCATGGGGTTTCACCAATACAATATGGAATGAACGCTCAATAAGCAGTTTCATACTGTGGTAGTGTG